TTGCAGAACTATACCAAGTGCTAGATTTTATTTTTACAAATTCATTAATGTAAGTCATTAGCAAACAGTGCTCTAGGTTTTTTTTTTAGCCCTCTCTTATACCTCTCATGAAAACATTCATCTTAAATGGGCAAGAGCATGGCATGAGGGGGAGTAAGCAGCTCCTGAATTAAGGAGAAACAACCATCTGCTTTGAAGACATGTCCATGGAGATTGCAGGTTGACATGTTGAAAACCCCCTTTGACTATCATATAAAACAGCAAGTTCTGGGTTAACTTTTTTTGTGTGTATAGCTGAAATTCAGCATCAGAGCAGCACTGAGGTAGCAGCAATATTTTAAGTGACAGCTTAGAGGCTCCTTCAGTCAACCCAGACATCCTTCACTAGACTTCAAGTACTATTCCTGGGTTCTGCAGTACCATCTACTATCAGAAATTAGCATGAGACTGGCTTTTAGTTATTTAAGTATTAAAAAAAAAAAAAAAGGCCCAAAACCTACGGGTTTCAAATGAAAAGTGTGTTTTAAAGTTCAACAGTGACAGAAATTGGTAAAAACAGAGTGATGGGGAAAGCTACTGTTTTCATTCTGCCGTGAAATATTTATCACGACTTTTGCCCTTTCAACTAAAGAGTTTGTGTTCAAATTCATTGGAGCTACCTGAAGCATATTTTCTCTGTAGACTCCCAAAACCACCTGACATATGTCTCCTTTCCTCAACTTTGTTAGGAAGATTTCCTGAAGAAATCCATAGCACTCTTCTTATGGACTGACAAAGAACAGTCCTGAAGTGACCCATTCTCCCTATTCACATAAAAGTTCCAGTGAGCTCATCAGTTGCAGGAGATTTGCTATAATTGGGGCAGTTCATATGCAAGGCATGTTAGAATTTGATTGAAGGGGGGAAAAAAAGTCATAAAATGCATGTAGAAGAAGTGTGTAAACACAATGTGAAAGTTTTGGAGAAAAAAAAGTGTTGGCTTTATATGCTTGACACTAAAGAGAATGAAATACAACACAACAGACTGTAATAAATGATAATTTCAGCACAGAAGAATATGGATTTACTTACTTCTTACCTACAGCAGTGAAACATAAAAATGCAACCTCCTGGCAACTGGAATATGAGTTATTATCTATAAAGATGACTTAGCTAAGGTGAGATAAATAAGCTTTCAGAAGAACAAAAAGAGGAAGAATGAGGTTTCTGAGAGAGAAAAAACCTTTCAAACCATGCCATATGCCTTGAAAATAAAGTTTTTCATAAAGTTATTGATTTACACAGTAAAAAATGAGGATATTCAGATATAAAGATGTCCTATCCTGTAGTACCTTTCAATAAGAAGAAAACAAGTATACATGGGAGGTGTTAGGGAAACTAGATGGGAATTCAAGTCAGCAGTTTTCACAGAGAGGCTAGACAGAGTAAGGATAGGGCATTTCACAACATCATCCAGGTGTGATGGAAGCCTTTCAGGACTACAGTGCCTGTGTTTGATTTTTCACCAAAATTTCAAGGCCTAAACTTGAGAAGAAAAAACTGAAAAATGACTTATTGCCTCTGGGTCTACTGCCCAACTACACCACCAAATCCTCATTATTTTTTTCCTATTTTTCCCTGTGATAGAGGAACTGCCATTTCTGCAGAAATGCCATAGCTCCACTGTCTAAACCAAGCATGGGGTTACTGAGAGCTTTTGGAAACACTGTTTTAGGAAATACTAGCCAGTGGACAAAACAGAACATAACTCCTCTAAGGCAGCCTTGAGCACCTAGTTCAGGCTGGCCAGGGGAACAAATTATGAAGCCAAAAGGAAAAAGAACAGTCTAAGCATACACTTCATCACCAAAGTCTGCAGCAGGGGAGTATAGCTAAGAGTAGCCATGGTATTTCTTCACTAGAGTTCTGCAGTTTGAAAGAAAAAAAAAAACAAACTATCATATATTTTTGTCTTATTAATGTTTCATGCTGTTATTTGATTTCCTGATTGATGAAAGGATAAGCCCTAAAGGTGTAGGGAGTTATAAATCACATCTTACAAAGGGGGAAAAAACAGTAAGTTTAGCATTTTCTGAGTATTTTCCCACATAGCAAATAATCCTGTGGATATCTCACTGAGTTAAGGAGAGTTTATGTTATATTTTCTCAAGACAAATCACTCCATTTTAGCTAATAATAAGGAATTGGGAAGCTGCTCTGAGATCTTCACAATTATTTCTACTTTGCAGTTGCCACACACCTGGGGAATTTATTGTCATCAAGTCATGTTCAACTGGGAAGGCTGGAGAGCTCTGTGATCAGAAATAACGAGTCCTTGAAAGTAAAATATCTCTTGCTAAAGCTCATTTTATGATTTTCCTTTAGATTTTTCTTGTCCTAAGACAGACCTTGGTTGCAAAGGTATAGGTGTGTTGTTATGGCATCTATCTTCACAAGTTAAACAGAAATTATAACACTAGCAAAGCCCTTGCTTGGAAATGGAAATTCAAACTGCACTGCAAAATACTGCTTCTACGATGTATTCAGGAAGAAGATGCCTGCATTTTCCAAATTTGCATTTGTAACACAAAGATATCAGCATAGAAAACAAAGACTGTCCAAATTCAAGTAACTGACTGAAGGGTTGACAGACACTGATGTAGGGACCTTTCATGATAAAGCAGTGCACCTCTTGTTAAAAAGTCTTTTCAAATATACTTTAAAAGCTGTGATCCACCTCAGGTCCTTTGGATTTGGTATTCATTGCTTTTGCAGGCTTCTTTGTAAGTTATGTTATTATATAAAATTCTCTGCAGATGTGACAGTGTAAGATGTTTTTCTAAACTGCAGAAAAGCTGAAATACAGCTTACAGAAAACAGCCATTAAGTAGATCAGGCACAATCAGCTCAAGCATGATCTGTGCAGATTGACACCAGTGAACAATACAATATGCTTGACTAGCTTCTCCTTCCTCCCTTTCCCCCTAGCTTCTTAATTCTCTCTTATACTTTTTTTTCTGGTGCTTCAGGCAATGCTTAGCAGGTTTTTTTTCATGAAATGTCAGTTGCCAAGGTATAATTTCAATCATTAGTGTGGCTGCAAACACAAATGTTTGGGGACTGATGTTTGCATGTGACTTGGGGAGGTCTGGCTGGCTGATGGGGATATGTGCTCATGTCTGGCACTGCACACAGGCATGCTCCTCGTGAGGCTGCACCAACACTGAATGTGCCTACACAACGTTTTAAGGTCCTTATTGTCTCCACTTTCTATTTTTATACAATTGTTTATCAGATATGTTAAGTATTTGGAGCTGATTTGCATTTCTATTTTCATTTGCCATGCAAAGGCTTTTTTTTTTTCCTTCTCCAAAATCAACAGCACTTAATACTCCTTCCTTTTGTCTCACAATATGAATTGTTTTCCTTTCCTCAGGCACTTGTCACATTCTGGAAAGACAAGCAAGCTACTAATGCACTGCTAGCAAGGTGAAGTTGTACACTGCTTTGTTGTGTCAAATTATTTGCCTTTTTCTTCTAATCAGGCAGAATTCCAAGGGCTACAAAAACCACATGTTCTCTGAAGGGGACTTGAAAAAAATCAGCTCTTTACAGATTTATCATGTCACACTTTGTCTTCTTCCACTGCCATTGGTCTCTCATGGAAATCAAATCTGATACAAGGCAGGGATGCCCAACATATTATTGTGATAGAATGAGATAAATAACCTAATTACCAGCTTCACACCTCTCACTGAATACCCTAGAACTACCAATAGGTAAGTCACTGGCTACACAGTGCCTTACAACCTCTGCAGGTATTTTAAACAGGGAAGGTTTTGTCAACCCTTGGGATGGTCCTTGGCAGGACCAGAAGTTGGACACAATGATGCTTGTGGGCCACTTCCAACTCAGCATATTCCGTGATTTTCTCTGTCTAAACTCTCTATGTTCTATTATAATGGTACGCAGTTTTTAAATCCTCTTTGCTGTTCCCTTTTGTCTGTTTGCATTTCCCTTTGCAGCCATTTGCTGAGAAAATGAGAACAGGTTAAGATAATCAAATGAAATACAGAACAAACAAGGGATTTAAGGTTCTAGAGTTCCCATAAAACAGCTGTTTCTTTCTCTATTTGCTTTAATATCTGGATTTATGCACTCCCCTCTTTCAGCTAGGTAGGTAGCAGACAGAGTCTGATTTAAGTGTTCTTCTCTTGCTGTTTCTAAAATCAGCTGTAAATGAACTGTAGCTGAGAGGAATTCTCTTGGGAGCCTGTGCATTCTACCACTGGAAGTAGAACAAGAGATGAAAAATGTAAAATAACCCGGGAATAAAGGAAGGCCAGGACATAACACCTTATAGGAAGCCTCTGGCAGTTAGGAAGTGTGCTTTCTTTGGAAAGTATACTGGGGCAGTGCTAGGAAGGAAGCCACACACACTGAGAAGCTGGAGCTGCAGAGACCCAAAACACAGCAGGCACTCCCCTAACAGCACTAATACGCTGAAATTGCAGTCCTGCTGTTCAGACAGAATACAGGAGCACACTGTTAAAATTACTGAGCTGTCTTCTAAAGATGGTGCTTGCATTTGAAGTTCATAAGGCTGACCTTCAGACTAATATCCCTTATGTGGGCCAGCTCTTGAAGTCACTCAAGATATTAAAGTTTGTTTATCTGAACTGTGCTTGCCCACATGTAAGAAGATATCTTTACCATGAGCATTTTATACTGGCCACAAGCTGGATATTAATGTTAAACTGTAATAAATTGTAGAAATGGCTCTCATATTCTACCCTTGAACAGAAACCTTTAATCCTGACCATTTTCAAACAGAGTGGTGACACAGAAGGCACAGCCCTGAACCTTCACAAGGCTCCTGCTTCTCAGTAGCTCATAGGACACACTGTTCAGCCAAACTTCTCCTTTTGTCCCGTGAAGCAGTGAAAGAGATGCATGCAGCATCTCTAATGTGAGATATTTCTTCTTATTTTCAAATCAGTTAGTTTTGAATGCCAAAGAAAGTACAGGATATAAAGGATAATTTCCTTTCCTTTGATTCCTGAGTTCCCCTCATTTTAGCTGATGCACACATCTTATCAAGTGATTCAACATGCTAATCAGTATCAGAGAGATTCTGCTCTGGCAAGTCTCAAAATTTAGAAACCTAAAATAATACATGAGCACCTTCATTTTCATAAAACTGGTAACTGATTGCTTGTGCCTTTTAGTGCCTCTTGTCTCAAATTAACAGCATCCTATACTAACCAGCAATTTTGCTGTCAGCACTACTTACCACCTAGACACCTAATCCCTTGCTCCTTTTACTTGATCCCAATGGTTTATCATGATCTCTTTATGGAAACTCCAGAGGGAATAACTAAACAATGGAATTCAAACAGGTTTCCTCAAGATTCATCCTTTAGAAAGTTAGATAGACTAAATGGATTTTTTTTCATTTGGTAACTTTTAAGCAAAAATTATTTCTAATAAATCCTCAGCAGTGCTGACCAGTCAGAGTTTTATTTAACTGTTAACAGGAGTACAGTTGGGTCAACTAAGAGCATTTTGAAATTTCACCCTAAACATATTGGATTCCTTTCTTTCTATGAAGCTCCCCAAGTGCAAATGAAGGTTTTCATTCAGTTGATCCCTGTAAACAATCCTAAGGCTGCTTTTGCATTCTTTGTATCCTGATTCCAGTTTAAAGAAATATGTCTTTCTCTTTTTCTTATCCTGCTACAAAACCTTGTGCCAGAGAAATAGTTGGATTCTGAAATATACTGACCCAAGTCACGTCTTATTCTGAATTTGACAGTTTATAGCTATAATATGGAAGAAGAAAGGGGTCTTTGAGAATATCACCAACGTGTATGAGAATTCTATTTCAGCAGGATTTGTAAAAAGAATATGAATTTGAGTCTTGACACAAATTGTATTTCCTTCCGTGACAGCTGCCCTTCACTCTGACTCTTCCACTTTGAAGATTAGCTGAAAGGTGTGAAGAAGGACACCTCAGGCACGAAGGTGAGTGGATTCAATTTGGGCAGGTATATATGTTAATTCCAAGCAAAAAAAAATGCTCCTAAATAAAACTAAATATTTTGCTTTTGACTTTGAGGCATGAATTGACCTGTGAATTTATAAGAAAGGGCAGAGGCACACTTTGTGTTGTGTTTATACACGTCCTTAATACTAGACTCCAATTAGCAATGTCCAGAAGGTAAAATTACAGATATTTGGCAGAATGGTGCTTAACATTTGGTTCTGTATCCTGCCCAAAAACTTCTGCAATTACACTAGAGAAATCTTTTTCTTATGTTACTACCAATCCAGCCAAAAATAAACAATAAAATGTGATTGTATTTACCACTTTACAGACATACCATCAGAGGTTACTTGAGAAATAGGGTTGTCTACTGGAGAACCTTAGCACAACAATGGGTATGACCTGCTTATTTTTGCATCAATTTCTTCCTTTCCAGTACCCATGTGAAATGTATGAAGTTACCCCAAAGGGTGTGTGATCTCTACCCAAGTAAAGCATCAGTCGCAGCATTTGTAAAAGTAGAAGATAATTAAAAATTCTTTCTTCAACAAAAGTTACTTCTGGAAAGGAAAAAAAAACCCACAAAAAAAACCCAATAAACCCAACCATCTAATAACAACAAAAAAACCCATAAAAGAGGTGTTGGCTGATAGAAGCAATGAGGTTATTAGCAACAGAATCAGAAACACTCATGGTAAAAAAGAAAGAAGATAAATTAAACATTCATATTTTATCTCAGTTTCTGAAATATATGTTCTTAAGCCTACTTTGAAGTACATGATTAAATTCTCCAAAACCTTTTTATCTTTCCTTGATTGCTAAAGTTTGCTATCAGTGCAGAGCGTGTAGCTGATATTGTATATCATCAAACTTATTTCTTTATCTTCAAAAGTAACATCTAAACTTGTTATGAATAAACATAAACAGGATGCCTGTTCCTCGTTTATTAAATATAAGCTGTAATAGAGAGAGAGAGCACGCACACTCTGTAGCACTGTGGCAATGGAGAATGTGTTCTCAGCTCCAGAAGAAACGTAGGCTACAAAATTTGGGGCATGTAGGAGAATACGGGGTCTGAGGTGAAGAAGGAACAGGATGTTGAAAAGGCAGGATATGCACAGGTCTCCAGGGAAGCCTTGTGGTAACAAAGCAACACCTAATTTTTGCCTGTTTGTTCGATGGCCTTCAGGATGTAAAGAAGAGTGGGTGGAAATGATGATGATGATGATGATGATGATGATGATGATGATGATGATGATGATGATGGTGGTGGTGGTGGTGGAAGTTGACTCCCTCTGGCCCAGTGGCTCTCTAGGAAGTTCCGACTCAGAGTGTGGGGGTAAGTACAAAACACCAGAGACACAGAGGCACAAAAATAAGCAAAGAACATCTCCAAAGACCCATAGCAAAATATTCCAATATAAGGAGACATAAATGTATCAATAAAGTATAATGAGCAATTCTACATTGCTGCCATAGCTACGTAATTTACAGAGTTGCCAAAAGATAATAGTTTTGAAGAGCCTGCCAAAAGCCTGGTAATTTGCATATAATTGTCAATAATGCTTTCTCATTTACTAGATGGAAGTTTGCTTTCACAGGATAGAGTTATTGGAATTCAATTTGCAGTCTCTGTTTTATGACTTTTCTATACAGTACTGTATTATTTAGAAATAAATGGGGAATTGTAGATGCATTTTCCCATCTCCTGCCCAAAGGCAAAAAATAGACAATACCTTTTCACTTGAAACTAATAAAAATAGAAAGAAAATTATTAAAAAAGGAGAAGTACAGCACCTCTTTGGGTTTCAGTCCATCTTATCCAAAAACACTTCTCACAGTCTATAGTTTCAATGAAATAAACTTCCTGATGTATTTTTCAGCAAGGTCAATATTCAGCTTTTGATTCACTAAACCCATGGGAGTGATTTTATTATGGGTGTGAGGTACTTTGAAGTGAATTGGACGGTGTTAAAAACTTTGACTCAACATTATAACTTAGACTGGGAAAGTGGTTTCCAGTATCATGAACAATAATCTTTCTTTGCAGTGATATGACTGTGGAAGAAATCCTCATCCTCCTGAAGCCATGGCAATTCTCCCAGTATCTACTACAACAGTGAGGATTTCAATACAGAAGGTTTTTTTTTCATTGCTGAGGGGAGGTTTTGTGGTTAACATGATAATATTGCATGTATAAAATATGTGCAAACTACTGAATCACCATTTGAATGTAACAGAAAACATTTTTAACTAATTAACCACCATTTTCTTAGTTGTCACTAAAAATCTGCAAAATAAGAATTTTTCTCATTTTTCATATAACGTGGCAAAATGAATAATTGCAATAAATCAAAATAAATATCAATTCTATACATATATACACAGTTGCTCTCTGTGCTCTTTTCCTTTTGCACTAAGAAATCTTGATTTTCTGCATTGACATTCACTTGTGTAGTCTCTGCAATTAAGTATGTAAATTTGAAAACTTCATCTATAAATGATGGAATAGATATTTCTGTAACACTTTGCGTGCATAAAACTTCCTGACAGTCTGTGACTAAATGAAACATGCATGCAAATAAAGCTGCTATCTTTGTGTTTAAACTTATGGTTCCACAGCATTCAAAGTTTGGGCAAAACATGTTATCAAACAGCAGTTCTGCTTGGAGTCTTCCAGACATCTGATCCTGTATTTTTACCAGGTTCCTCTTAACCAGCTTTAAAATATGTTTTCATATTCCTAGCTCTTCCTCCAATAGAACGAAAAAATTGCTAGTATTTCCCTGATTTCCTCTCCCTGAGTTCCTTTATTTTGGAGTGGAGATTCTGATTTATTTCTCCAAGGTATAACTCGACATTCAAGGACAACAAAGCCACTTAGATGATACTTCTGACTGCAGATAAAAGTGCACTAATGGTGACACTTCGGACCAGCATAGATTTGAGTGCAGTGAGGTATAAAACCTCCCTTTGGGAGCTCATCCCGACAGAGTAGGATCATGGAATAACTTTTGCAGCTACCAGAAAAATTCAATGTCAATCTATAGCCACTCAAACAAGTCTCAGAGCAAAGCGTAGGATGATCCCCACCTAACTGGTGGATATGAGCTGCAAAGGAGGTCAATTCTTGCACCAGCTTTTTAAGGTGAGTGGAACACCAGCTCTGAATAGAAAGATTTAATACCAGTGTGAGCAGCTAACTAGATAAAACCACAGGGAAGATATTGCTTTGTAAATAAAACCTCTAGTGCTTTCTTCAAGATTTTTACCTTATTTACTATTATTTCTGACTCAGGAGAGAAAGAAAGCAGGCCCTATTGAAAACTTATGATTGTATATTATTTCTTTCATAAACAATATCTCTATGCACAGCACTGCTTTAACATGTCAGTTGTAATTTGGATTGTGTCCTTTAATCTATTGTGTGCTGCAATAGAAACAAATAATTCATGAGTAGAGCTCTGTGCCATACACATGGTATATGAATCTTCCTCCAAAGTGGAATATGTGCCATACCTCATTGTATGATGGTATGATTATTTTATTGCATATATTATCCATGTAAATTTTATTTATCTTTCATGACAAGTTCGGTTCCCATAGGCCACTAAGTATTTAAGGCATTGATAACGTATAGATCTTTTTTGTCCCCCAGAAATAGTACATTTTCTTTAATATCAGTCAGTTTTGTGGAAATATCTGTGAACACTGGACATGTTACATAATCATCTGAACTGTAAATGAGGACTTCTTTCCAGAAAACCCCAAATACTGTTTTGAGACTGTTAATAAAAATATTTAGATATTTCACATTAAAATAGATTGAGCTACTATTAAAAAGAGAGGGAGAGAGAAGGCAGTAGAAGGAAAAGGACTGTGTGTCTTAGGCTCTTTACTTCGTCCCACACGTTTTTTTTCTTTGATATGATGTCTAAATAAAAGGGTCATTGCTCAAATACTACTGCCCTTGGCTGTCCTGCTTGAATGCCAAATCTCTTTCTGCTATTTTTCACTACTCTTAGTTTCATCCCTTCAGATGTGCTCGAGTTTGTCCTGTTTTAATGGGGCCTTGTAAGTCCATACTGCCATCCCTCAATATCCTGCTCACCACAGATAGCAATAACATGTTCCTGCAGTTGCAAAACTCCTTTCTCATCTCTTTCTGTACTCCTGAGGGGAACTCTGCAACATTTCCTTTCTTTCTTCTCTCCCTCATGTGAGTTGGCACATTAATTTTTAATGTGTTCTTTCCCAAATTTATGTAGTACAGGAGAAGTCCACGACAGTAGATGAGACCTAGTGCTTGCAGAGGGAAGCAAGGCTAGACAAAGAGGTTTTCAGGAATGAGATAAAACAACAGCAAAAAATAATACAGTTGAAAACCTAAAGCTAGCTAGACCCAGGAGAGGGATAAAATGTGCGCTTTCGGTAAACTGTACAAGCTTTACAACTCCTGCCTCACTCCCACAATATCTTGGAAGCAGACTTGATCATGTGTTGTTTGCGTAGCAGACAGCTGTAACTCCGTAAAGATGCCCCAGAGATCCATTAAGCAGTGTGAAGAATGTCTTTGTGGGTGTATGGGTTGAGAGGGATCAGGGGCTTCAAGGAAGCAGAAAACACAGTAAGAAACAGGCAATGGAGTGACTACCAGAGCATCCACTTGGGTGTTCCTTATCCAGCATGAAAATAGGCCAGATTTACCCAGAAACCTGCTGGCTTTAAAGAGCTGTAATTTCTTAATAAATTCTTTTCTGTTTCACATCTCATCTGAATGTTTTTGTTGTTAATGAATTTCTATTATAAACTGACACCTGAAAGGGAATTAGTGTCATCGTCAGATTTTCTTGCAACATGTCAGCTTTTAGCTGCACTTTTGTTAATTATTTTTCTTGACAGTTAAGTATTGTTGAGATAACACAGAATGGTGTTAACTTTGGCCTTTCTGGGACAGGCTGGGAGCACATCTTTGCTTTCCACTTTGGTGCAATCAGTAACCCCGAGGCAGGGAATCTACTGTCCTTCATGCAGCCAGTGGTGCCCACTTCCATCATGCACAGGCAGCACCTCTCCACATCAGAAGCCCTCTGTAGCACTTCAGTGCATCCAGGTTCCTGTTATCTTTCACAGAAAACATGGATATGCTCCTGCCTAGTGATGCCAGTGCTGAGAATTGATCCCTACACCTACTGGAGACACCTGCAGCATGTGCACAAAGACTTAGGATCTGGGACATACTCCTGGGTCCCATTTTTAAGGATATAAACTTTGTTGCTCTCTCTTAAAAAAAAAAAAAAAAAAGAAAATATATATATATATATATATATATATATATATGTTGCCATTAAAGTAATTTATTTCTTTCTTTACAGAACTCTCCAAAATTGCTGAGTGACAAATTATTATCCTCTTCCACTGATAATGTATTTATTGAAAATGCAAAGATCATTTTGGGATTTATTGGTGTTTGGTTTTTGATTTTTTTTTTAATGTTTCACTGTAGAAAAATTACATTCTAAAAACACTTTACTAAGAAAATGAGAAAAACCCCAGTATTTTCAATGTGGGAGATGTTACAGTGCAATTCAACAACAGGTAATGCCTGTCTAAAATATGGACCAGCAGTTCATGGCACTTGCTAATAGTGTGTACCCTAATATGCCACTTTACTTGCCCCTTTATGTGTTAGAACACACTCTGTATCAAATTGCGCTTTTTAAATCACCAGGATTTTGTTGACTCCTTCTCCAAGACATCATTGATTACAAAATTCAAATTTTGATTTGGATTTCAAGCCTTGTAAAGGACATTGAGGACCATGAACTTGATCTAGGTACTCCTTTTAGATGTCTTAGTTCATTCCCATATTGTCAGCTTAACAAAATAATCTCAAATTTTTTGAGAATTAGTCTTTTTCACTACAGAAAACACTACACTCTTCAGATGAAGCGTTTGTATAATTTTTCTCTTTTTTTCTTTTTTTTGGGGGGAGGTATGTTCTGACTTTTTTTGTGTTTGTTCGATTAGAAAAACAACCCTAGAAATTCTTATGTTTTTCAGTTACATATCCAAGGGTTCAGATCTAAATATTTTTATTTTAATAGAGAAGCTATCTCTGTAACAATGCAAGATGGAGAAATTGTGGAAATATGCACTTACATGTGACCAAATGTCTTTGCCAATAAACACTGCAGAGTAAAAGTTCTTCTTAACATCTGTCAATATGGAAACTTTGAACAGAACAGGTGGAAGGGACAAAGTCCCAAATGCAGGAGAAGGCTTTGCTTTGACTTTAGGATACTTACAGTTTTATATGGTAAAACAATAATAAATGTTATCTGAGAGAGCTACATGATAAAATTCTAATAATGGAGTGAGTTTACTGCAGGAGGACTTGGTGAAATAACACTGGGCTAAGGGTTTTTGTTTTTTTAAGTTTCAAAAGGACAAGCTTGGGTAACTAGCAAGAAAATATAGTGAAATTAAAGTTTCAGTCCTCCACTGCAGCAGACAGCAAAGATTTCTCAATGCAAGTATTAAAAACATACTGAGAATTTTCAGGTTAGACAACATGACAAAATATGAAGGTACAGACATAAATTACAGAAACATATAAAACTATTTCCAAAAGCAGATTGAAAACAAGCATACATTTTGGAAATCTCTAAGTGTACAGATTAACTGAGATTTATTAGAATTGATGCTGAGTTGTAATTCTGGAGGAAGATCTAATAAACAGGAAAATTTTCTTAAGCCATAAAAGGGAAAGATGAAAAATGAAGAAAGAAACTTTATTTCCACTGACATCCAGCCAAAATCAATTTAGTTATAGCCCCCAAAATGAAAATACTGCCTCTGTGTTCATCAAAAACATTCTACTTAACAAAAGAGCAACTGAAGAAGAAAACAAAAAGGAAAGAATATTATTAATCATATTAGGATTGAAAATTGTAAATGGAAATTATAACATCTAAAGGAATGCAAAAAATCCTAAGCACTAAAATGGCTTGGGTTGGGAAATCCAAATTGCCATAGAGTTACAAAATAAAGAAACATAGCACATGAAAAAAGGATTTAATTAATCTATCAAAGTGAGTTGGTATTTATGAATACAGAATAATCAATCTGCATTTAGGAAACTGGAAAATAAAATGAGAGCACATAAAAATCTGTTATTCTGACTGTAGTGGCATTATCAGCTTAAGAAAAACTTTAGGAAGAATATTGCTTGGGTGAGAAACAAGATGAGAGGAATAAAAGATAAGCCTTGAGGATACCATTGATTTGGTCAGAAAAAACCCAATATGTTAGAAATATGTTTTTGGTTAAGTTTTCTAAACATCAGCTTTGAATGTCTGTTTTCCTCTTGCTAATATTTTTGCATGTTAATGTTGATAAACTTATAGGACACAAAGCTTAAAATTATTTTCAAAATGGAAGAAAAAATGAATATGAATACAAATATGAATACGAATATGAATAAGAATACAACAGAAAATAATTATAAATATTTATGTGAAATCAATATAAAATCAACATTAAAATCAATATTAAAACCTTTTCATTTATAAAAACTCCACCTATGGCTACTACCAGGATTTTCTGATAGAAGGGTAGATACACATTATGTGACCAAAAATTTAATTTTGGGCGCAAATTGTTATTTGTGAGCTACAG